GCAACATGTGCGCCCCATTGTTTGAGCAGCGCCAGGCTGGTTCAGAAGATACGGAGGTTGCCATCGTCTCAGTCTCGTCTCTGGCTATGCACCGGAACTGTGTACATACTGTCACCACAGTTCGACTGCCTCAACTTCGACTGGAACAACAAGGCCTGCAAAATGGATTGGATTAACTCCAGTAGGCTTATAGACACCTATCATGGCTCTGGCCTAATGCTCTCCTAATTCTCCGATCGCCTGACTTAATGCGACGATCTCCCGTCTTAAGTCGACGATCGCCGGCCATTCACGCCGTTGAGTTACGCACGTAGTACGGCTCGGACTGGTGTTCCGCCGGGCAGTACGGGAACGTGACGCCGTCCGAGTCCGGGTTGAACAGGTTCTTGCCGGCGTCGATCATGACGTAGCAGCCCACGACGGTGCACACGACGATCACCACGACCGCCACCACGCGCTCGTACATGGGCAGATCGCGCCAGAAAACCTTGAGGTAGAACACAAGCGGCAGCACCAGGCAGCACACGGTGATGGCAGACGCGCCCGTGAAATCCACGAGGTCCAGGAAGTGCGAACGGAAGCCGATGGCGGCCCCCACTAGGATCGCCATGATGACGAGACGCAGCGTGACGTAGCGGAACACGTTGGCCGAGCCGCTGTAGTCCGAGAGCTGGGCCTCGTCGTGCTCCTTCTCTTCCTGCTCGCGCTTCGCCGAGTTCGACAGCGTATCGATATCCGAGTCGGCGTTGCTCTCCAGGTCTCTCGCGGCGTGCTCGTTGACGCTGGTCACGGGGCCGTTCGTCGACAGCTTGTCGCGCAGCTCCTCCCATCCGTCGTTCTCGTCCGGTTTCTCCGGGATCGAGACGGCGACGGGATCCTTGTGCATACCAAGAACGAGACGTTCGGCCATGTAGAACGGCGGCTGTAGAACTGTGGACAGAACAATCACGACGTGCAGGTGCATGAACATGTACGCCATAATGACGGCGCCGTGGTTCGGGACGAAACCCAGCGCCGACGGCGACGACGGATCCGAAATGTTGACGATCGAGAAGAGCAGGTTAGCCGAAAGCTGGCAGCCGCCGGCGACGTATCCAGCGATAGCCACAGCCAGGAAGAAAGCTGAACCGATACCTAGACTAACCACAATAACGCGGGGCATACGCTTCGGCTGCGAGTGCTGACGCTGCAGGTCCGGGATCAAGACGGCGACACCGTACGCGAGCGACAGGTTGCCGAACGCCGTGAGCACCTGGTGCAGCGAGATGTCGGGGGACGGCGCCGTCGGGTGGCCGCTCATTTCCCACTCCAGGACGCTGACTCCTACCACGTCAGCGATAATAGTGCCCATGCATCCGATGAACGCCACGGTCGCTGCAGCTTTGAGCGTCGGGATCAAACAGGCTGGCACGGCCGTGACGGCCATGAAAATGATCCAGAAGATCTGGCTGAACGAGTCCGGGAACAGCACATCGAGTAGAGTACTACCTAGAACCAGGAAGGCGCAGGGTAGAAGCAGACATACGAGCAATTGGGACACGTTTACGAGGTAGCGTCCGGTCTTGCCGAGCACCCACTCGCCGACGTCGCTGAACGTCTGGACGGAAGGAGGGGCGACGAGGATGACGCGCGACAGCGCCACGGTCGCGTATATATTCGCGAAGGCCATAAAACTCATCGCAATGGTGCCGTATACGGGTCCGGCACGGGCAAAATTGGAGGGCATAGCGAGCGTGCCGATGCCACAGATGCAGCAGATGATACTGAAGCTGATCTTGGCGTCCTCGAGCGTGAAGAAAGCCGAGCGACGCGGCTCGGACGGGGTCATCGCAGCCATGCTGAGCAACGGGAAACACGGCGAACGAAAGTGTCCGTCGCGATAACTTTTGGGGGTGATCGAGTGGCTTTCACTGCCCCAAACAGAGAATACTCTCGTGGGTACGATTGCACGTGGCGACGTCTACGTCCGCCTTGGTCAACGTTTGCGCGTCTCAACACCAAAGCGGCTCGATTTCCATAGTCGGGGCTCATTTCCTAGGTGAGTGCACCGGATCAACGTGATGGTGGCTAAAATGAAGGAATCGATGGTCTCCGTTGCTGCCGGTGTTGGAGCTGGAAACGAAAAGCCCATCGCTCTTCCGTATGTCGGTTGATACACACGCCGGCACCACCACGAACAAGCGGATTTGCGATGGGGTTGGGCTGGTCGACACTTCATATGTCGAGTCAACACATCGTGAAGAGAAGTTTGGATTTCAACTCGAGTGCGTAAAGTATCAATTGAATAAAGTCATTCTTTACTTCGTAGTTGTTGATGCTATGTGAACGCTATCACTGTTCCTTACCTGGATCCAGAAGACGG